ATGGCAATTCTAATTCGGGGGGCTTCATCGGCACCAGTGTTAGGACATGCCATTATGCCCCAACATCAGTAAAGCCCATGCCGTTCAGGATGTAATGACACTTCCTAAAAGTAATAATGGGATGAGAGTTAATTCACATTTGTTTCCATTTATGCAGCGCTAGCCACACCTTCCCTGGCTGTGACTCACAAAACATGCATATAAAAAAAAAAAAAAAAAAAAATTTCAAAAAGTTTTAATTTTCATTTACATGTTAACTTACTTTTTTAAAGTTTTTATCTTCAGCTCTGTAAATTGAACTTTAATTGCACACAGGGGACTCCTGCAGGGCATACAAGGCTATTAATAGCACAGGAGATGAGATTCTAAATGAAAACATGATATCTAATGTTTAAACTAATAAAGGAAGTTTAAACATTAGAGCTCACTTCACAGGAAGTGTTTAGGAAGACTGAGTTACATGTTGAGAGTTGTGACTAGGGTTGTATAAGCAAATTGAATTAACACCTAAATGGCAGAGAATTGATCGGTGACATTGCAGGGGCATGATCAATACATCAAAACTGCTTCATGAAGCTAAAGTTGTTTTGGTGCCTATAGTGTCCCTTTAAGTTACTTTAGAAGTGTTATCTCTTGCATTGTAAGTTGAACTTTTGTCACACACAGGAGGCTCTTTCATGGTCTAGAAGGATATTAACAGAGCAGAAGATTGGAAATTCTAGATTAAACAAACTGTGCAATACAGAAACCTAAAATATCTAGGTTCCTTTACAAGAAGAGTTTAGAATGTCTGTGCAAGTCACATGCAGGTAGGTGTGACTAGAGCTGTGTAAACAAAGTGACTTAACTCCTAAATGGCAGAGGATTGAGCAGTGAGACTGCAGGGACATGATCTATACACCAAAACTGCCTTGTTAAGTTAAAGTTGTTTTGGAGCCTACAGTGACCTTTTACCCGTTAAATCACAGACAATTGAGCAATTAGAAGCAGGGATATGGTTAACAGTAGAAAAGGATACACAGTAGTTAACAAAACAATCTAAAATAAATTAAACTGACTAAACGTGTCAAAAAGTAATTACTAAGAAAAATGCTCTACACAGGAGCCTGAAAGTATCAAATTAAAATAGAGAGGCTAATCTAGGAGGCAGTGTTTATTAATGGTGCTAATATCTCATTTTTGGGGGGAGTGACCTTTCCAAAACCTGTTACAGTTTACCAATGGTAAAAGGTATACATTGGAGCCTTGTGAGCACCTTCGCCAAAGTACTTATGATAGCCTTATGAAGCCTATGCCTACAAAAACAAACACCCAACACACGTTAAGGCATAAATATTGAGCCTTTGTGTGTGATTTGTGTATATATATATATATATATATATATTATATATATATACACACACACACACAGACACATTTATGTGGGGACACTTTTTAAAAAAAACAAAACACTTTAACAAATAGTTTATTTTCCCCCATTTACCAATTTTTTGATTTAGTGATGCCATTAGTTAACCTTGTTTTTTTATGTTTAAAATGTTGAAGTGAAAACATAAAAATACCTTTAGAAATGTTATCACTCGCACATGACCAACTATGCAAAGACATTTGACTTGAAGTAGCTATGTTAAAAAGCGCCACAATGTTGACGCCATTCATGGAAAGCAAATTAAATCTTGAAAGGAGAACTATACACGTATAGGCATATATAGTTTTTTATTAGAATCCTAAGAAGTTTGGCTAGGGAGCTGGACCTTGTTAAAGGCAACTGTAAAATCTGCATCTTCCAATGATATTAGCAGGTACCCATTTACATGTTTGAGCAACGACTTTTAAAATGCCTTGCTGGCGTATGCAGAGTTGTCATATCTCCCATGGCAAGCGCTATGGAATCTGTTGGCGCTATATATATGGCGATAAGAATAGTGACCCAAGCAATTTGCATATTATGCCAGGCTGTGGTATGCTGGTCTGACATATGATGTAAATAGGCAATTTTTTTATTTTTTTTAAGCACTTCCAAGGTTCCAACAAAATGTTAGTTTGCTAGTAAACTGTGCAAAACCCCTTAAAGTGGATAATATTGGCTACATAATAGGATCCCCTCAGTTATGCCTTGTAGGACATTGTTGCTATTTCTTCATTTTGACATTTTTTGAATATAAATTTGACTTCCGAAATCCACTTTATAATTTAAAACCCTGAACACCACTGGGGCACAAATATAAAGAAAATAAATAAAAGCATAATGAGCAGAGATCAAATCAGCACATATTCCATGTAAACCAGCATTAGCATGGTATAAATATAGTCTCTTAGAACTTTATCCGTTTCAAGTCCCGTGAAGCTTTTAATAAAGTTACTAAAGCATTCTAGCAACCAGTCTCTTAAGATGACACAGTGAAAACTAAATGTAGGCTGCTAAACAGATTACTATAATAATTCTTTTGTACAGTGAACATTTAATAACACATCAATACCTAGAAAGCACATCGTAGTTACAAACTTTATTGATAGAAATCAACTAGAATGCTTCATATAACGGGATTGAGGTTGCATACGAGGTCAAGTAAAAAAAACTAAGGCTTATTTATTTTGCTTTATGCTGCTGTGGAGTAAACAGAATTTGAAAAGTAAAACTGGACATTCCTTGGAGGCAAACATGTAATTAATGTGAGCGAAAGGAGCTGTAACCACTTGACAAACATAGGCCCTTCAGTAGATTGTAAGCCTGAGAGGCTCTGTCCGGGACAGGGTCAAGTGTAACTTTTCCTCAAATGAATGACTGTGGTGTTAAACATTTTATTTCTAAACATTCAATGTTAAATACAATGAATCAGATAACTATATTAACATCTCTTAGCATAGCAAGATTAGCATTAAACCGGCGAAACAAGCACAGATCTGGAATCAAATGTTCTACATTGACAGAGACAGTATCAAGAAAAAGGCTTGTAAAATCCTACTGTGCAAAATCCTATTTAATATTGTATTTAGTTCTAAAAATGAGAAACACAAACATGAGTTTCAGGAAAAGAAAATAATGATCAGTTGTACTCCATCGAACTGGTATTTAGTGTTTTGGTTTTTTTAAGGCAGTGTGCAATGAGTCGTTTAATGAATCGTGAACTACACCCTGAATTTTCAGATGATGTAAACATAATCACCGGAACTGAAGAGAAGTCATTAAATGAGTGTAAAGTGGACATAGAGCTCCACCAAGAGGTCACTCTGAAAACTGCTTGCAAGTTCAGATTGCTCAATTTCTCCATATAAAACATTTACCACATTAGATGATGTCATCTGTGTGTAACATTCAATACAAAATTGATTTAGATTTTTCTAAAGAGGAATAGGCATGATATATACATTATAGGCTAGTTTGCAAGCCTGATTCATGGAGGTCTAACTGAAAGGGGCATTCCTCTAGCTTACTGCAATTTAACTTGTGTTTCCTCTGGACTATTTCATTTTTGCTGAATCTAAAGCTCAATAACAACAAAATCAGTGGCAGGTATCACAGTGGGTTACTACAAATGATGCCACAAGTGAAAAGTAGCACATAGCCATTGGTCTTCCTTACAGAACAAAGGATTGAGTTGCACATTCATGAAGCATGGACTTCTCACAATGCTACATTTTCTATATTAATGAAAACCTCCTTTCCTACCCAATGTAAAGCAGTAGTACAGGTATACCGGAAAACATACATTAATGGAAGACTCCAAGTTCCATAACCACTACAAAGTGCTGTGTTTATAGTGCCAGGATTGCCCTAGTGCCCCCACATGTAAGTAGCAAAAGAGTTTGGTCGCCTACTCCATTGAGAGCCAGAGGCTTCCACTAGCTTATCTGAGCAAAGACTTACAGTACAGGGCCAGCTCATTGGTTGAGCATCACCTGATCATTCACAGCCAATGAGCCAAGCCCTGAATAGCCTGGCTAGCTTAATGGAGGAGGTGACCGGCACCTGACAGATTTTAGGTAAGTTGTCAAACCATTTGCAAATTGTTTAACTAGTTAACTACTTACACGTGTGGAGGGTGGGAGAAAACTCCAGGAATCATACTACAGCACAAATAAGTGGTTATGGTGCTTAGAGTGTTCTTTTAAATTATGGGAAAGAAGAGGAATAAATTGAACAAAAATGACTGGTACTTATATAATATACACTAAAATGTTACCCACAGAACTCACTTAACTCAACAATCCTCCTGTCTCATACAATTCAGTACTTAGCAATAAGCTTGCCAAGCATAATGTAGGTGTTGAAAAATCCTGGTCTGGTATTGGCACAATTCCATTTTATTTTAAATGCATGTACATCGATAATTACATGCCGATCTAGTACAGAAGTGAGTATGAATAAAGGGACATAATGGCAGGGAACAACCTTTAATTCTCTATTATATAGAATAAATTCAAAAGAAGAGGAGAAAAATACTTTAAAGTTTCTAAATTGCAGCAACTGCACAAACAAGTGGTACAGCAGGTAGACTCCTCCCATAATCAGAAGACGCTCCTTCATACTATTCAGAGTATTGCTGTGTGTACCTATCTCCAAAGTCAACAACTGTGCATGCAAGCAACAAAGACTCTGGTTCTCTTTACAGCTGAAAAAGAAGGGAGAGCTGCATAAAGCAAGCACAAATTGGACAGAACTTGGAAGGCAAATATGACGTATAACACCTCCCCTTATGTTGCTGGGAGCAGTGTTAAAGAGCTGCAATGATTTAGGTAAAAACTATACAACTCTTGGGCAGGGTGAAATGAATTTGGATACTTTTTCCACCACAGCCTTTCAATGATGCAATGTTTTGACGGGCGCTTTTAAGCATGGTATAGTGTAAAAATAAAACAAATAAAAATTACATGTCAGGTGGGCTGGCAAAAAAAAAAACAAGAGTGTAATGCACACACTTAAAAAGGGGAATACTTCCTGCAGGGTGCTCCAGAAAGGGAGGGCCAATCCCTTAAGACCTCAAATGGAATAAAAGAAATACCCAGGCACACCTGAGGTTTCTTCTAAAAGGCAGTCTTTTTATTTGAAACAAGGAAGTGCAGACAACGTTTTGGCTCCTCTCTGACTTGATAAAGGCTCAATTGTTGACTCCACTTCCTTGTTTCAAATTTTTAAAAAAAAGAGTGCCTTTTAGAAGAAACCTTAGGTGTGCCTGGGTATTTCTTATCTTCCAGGTGGGTGGGTTTGTCTTACAACGTCTTCTTTAACAGTTTAGTATGTTTTAAGTTGGTAGGCTTTTTAATTCACCCTTCTGTATTTTCTCTCTCGTTGTACAATTGATCTTTGTATGCCAGACATTTTGCTTTCACTGAAAAAATTAATCTGCGAAAAACATTTGGCACAAGAGGATGCTTCCCAGCACTAGCATTAGTAATGGACCAATGGACTGCTTGTAAAATGCTGTTATAACTGGTAATCCCCTGCTAGATGCCCTTCCTTGTCTGAGTAACCGTCAGAAACAATCTTTTGAAAACTTACAGAAATCCTGTGCTACATCCATTTTCAAGTTTAGAAACTCAGGGTTCTCAAAGTAGAACAACATATATATTTAACTACAGAGCTATAGGTTACCTCTGTATGGTTTATTATTTGCAACTGCACAGTTTTCAGTCTAGCCAGATACTAACCAACAGTTTGATGGCTTCAAAATCATAAATTGGTAAATAAACCATTTGATATTTAATTCCATACCTTTTTTTATTATTATTAAAAATTTTGGGTTGTTTAAATGTGATCTCCCACAGCTGTTAATTGAAACAATCTATAAATTAAAGCTAGACAATGGATTCTGGTTGTATCCAGGCTAAAGTTGAACACACACAAAAAAAGAAATGTTTGTATGCAAATAATGTTCATTACTTACTCTTTGGTGTATACATTCCTTGTTGCATTGATCCTCCCGGTTCGAATACAGGTGCTTTAAAATCTGCTACTGCAGACAACACGGACTCAAAGCTGCAACCTCCTGCAATCACACTGCTTTTTGGGTTAGGGCTTTCTGGTATGTAAAACGTAAATTAAGGAAAAACATTATGTCAAAATTCAGCAAAGCTAACCCACTGAGTGCCAACATCACCTTCGAGAGCTGGGTGTTATAAAGTCCAATAAGGATTGTTGTCATTGTTCAGTTCAATATTTATTGGGCATTTAAATGCAAGATATAAATGCCCAATATTGATCACATTTTTCCCATTCTGAATGTATTATGTTTTTTGAAAGAGCATATACAATACTTATCCACATTTTACTAACAAAGAATAAACAGAGCTTTCCAAACATACAAAAATCTAATAAAATTAAATGTAAGGACAAGAAACTATTTTGCATCTTCCAGCAGGTAATAACACACATTGCCTCAGTAAATATCCAACAAAGAGTACAAATTATAACATCCTCAAGAAAGAGTCTTGATATTTATCAAGACTAGACAATATTCTTACTACTACATATTTTGATTTTATGTGTGGGCTGCTAAAGGGATTACAGCAGAGTTACAGTTCAAGTACTTCAAAAGGTCACGTACATTTACTAATTGAATAAAGTTGCACACTATATTTTTAGCATGCACGTGTGGTACTAAGGCTTCAAGTACTAACTAACATTAACATATGGAAGAAACCTTTAGTAAAGAAACAAAGGGTGGTGGGATAAGTCAGGACATATTTGGAGTTTTAATATCACACGTTTTACCAACTCACCTAAATGTTGCAAAATCAGTAGACGACCAACTGGGTTATTTATCTAAGTGAGAATCCTAACCAAATTTTTAATCTAAGTCCAAAATAGCCAAAATGGAACAATTCCAATGCCAACTATGCTATTCAGTTTAGCTACTCTGCATTTATTTTACTTAAGCAAATAACACTGTAAGAAATGGCTTTTTTTATTCTATGCATTGAGATCATCCTGCACTCATATCAAACAAATTTGTTTATGTTCTTAAAAAGAATCCAAAGAAATTTCATCATGAGGATTTAAAATGTTCTTGAACTTAGACTAATTTACTACCGCTAGATGCCACACTTGCAAGGAAACATCTCTTCATCTAAATCATGATCTCAAAGCAGCTTATATTTTATCTCCTTCTAATTCCACTGGGACAGAGAATAAGTCTTCTTCTGAAGCAGTATGACCATATAATGTCAGCTGTGAAATATCAGGTACTACTACCAATCATTTTTTTATTCTCCATAGTTGTGAGGTATGCTCTCAGGAAATATGTTGTGTTGTCAACATAACTGAAAAGATGGTAACTCATTCCTCCTATTCAGGTTATATAGATTTATTTTCTTAGGTCCTGTAAAATTTAGCATAATTTGACTTTTCTACTTCAGCTCTTTATGTCTTTACTTAATTCTAGTTTAAAGCAGTGAAACTTTGGATGCTTTTCAGAGTGTTTTATTGAAGCAGGTCTGTCACTTTTGGGGGGGTTATTTTCATATTTTGCACAATACACAATGAGAACATATCAGACTATGATCCAGTGACTGCGTGGTGCAGTAGAAGGTAGGTATAATTACCCGAAGCTGTCCCTCGTGCCTGCCCCCATCTTCTTCCTGGGGACCCTCTTCAGCTCCTGGCGCTTTACCTGCCATGAGAGTACAACACTGAGATCTATGGAGGATCCCGCAAGACACGCCTTAGATTAAGTTTCGTAACCAGCGAGTCAATGCCTGAATCCTACAGCCATCAGCTGTGATGGCTGCAGCATTTGGATAATCTCCTTCAGATTGTAATGGGTAAATAATTGAACTGCCCACTGGATACACCAATCGAGCAAGTAGGCAGAAATTTAAGGAATGTGGTCTGTAACATCAAATTATTAAATGATCAGTCTAGGCACCATTGCATTGTTATGGTGCAGAAAGCACCTTGCACTCATTTGTAACTCTGAGAGTGGCTTCTAAAACTGTAGTGATTTGAAAAAAGACGTACTGCAGCATTACAACTGCACGTACCACCAACCCCTGCCCAAACCCATGATCATATTCAATTGGGTAATAGAAACATCCCCTGGATGTTGGGCAAAAGTAACATCCCCGGGACATAATCGGAAACCAGAGAATATCTGAATGTACCTTTCTTGGTTAAACATTGTTATATTACATCGGGTGGAAAAAAATGGTTTAAAAATGGATTGTTGCCATATTGGGTGGAACTGGCGAGGAATAAACTACATAAATCACAGGTTGTAAATGAGATGCTCTGATTGCCAAGGTCTGTTTTTGAGAAAGGTGCAGTTTCACAGAACAGAGATATATATATAGTTTTATAAGAAATAGAAATTATTTTTCTTCTTTTCAAAACATTCGAAAGGATATAAGGTCAAGCAGTGAGCTGTGAGTACGGTCATTCATACAGAGCTGGGCTATCATCTCTGCTCGAAGTATCTCATCATCAGTCATTCCTATCAGAATAAATAAAAAATAAATAAATATATATATATATATATATATACATACTTTAATCAAGAGTGACGTGTAGTAGCTAAATATCCTATCCTAGTGATGAAGGTATGAGGATCATACATTGGGTAGATAGGAAAACATCCATATGAACACAACTGTTTTATTTATTTTATTACCACTTGCTTAATAATTGCACTTTGAACCAGATGTAGTTTAACAAATGGAAAATAAACCGGGGAATGAAAGATGTAAATACAGGAATAACTCCAACACAGTTTAAATTCTCAGCAAAGGAACCACTTGGTACAAAAAAGAAAACTATTTCACAGACAGCCTTCATGAGGTCCTTCACCTGCTCTCGAGAAGCCATCTCCCCTTGAAACTTGTGGGAAAAAAATTTAGAGGCACAAATGTCAACCAACTTGCCTTCTATGAAATATCTAAAAACAACAGCGCTTTAGAAAAACAGATATAAGAAGGTCAAAAAAGATGGTTTGCATCTTTCTCAAAAGGGAACAAATGTTCTTAGTGAGCAGTTCAGAGGTTTTGCTAGGATGTATTTAAACTAGGAGGGGGGGGGCAAAAGGGTGATAAAACATCAATCCAATTGTCCCCCAAAACAGGGACAGAAGGTGCCTGTAGCAAGTGTGTTAAAAAATGATAAGCTTAGAGTCATGTCTACAAATGCACGCAGTTTAGGGAATAAGATCCATGAACTTGTGGCAATAATGGCAACTGATAGTGTAGATTTAGTCGCTGTTACTGAGACATGGTACAATGGGAAAAATGACTGGGACATAGCAATACCAGGGTACTCTTTATATAGGAAAGATAGGGAAGGCAAGAAAGGGGGAGGGGTGGCCTTGTATGTGAAGGATAGCATAAAATCTAGCCTAATAAAAGTTAGTGATGCAAACAGAGTCCGTTTGGGCTACGTTAGAATTTGGTAATCACACAGTAAGTCGTGTAGGTGTGATTTATAGGCCCCCAGGACAAATTGAAGAGTTAGATAATCTACTAGTTGAGGAAATAGCTAAAATGACAATGAAGGGGGAAGTTATCATCATGGGTGACTTTAATCTTCCTGATGTAAATTGGAAAACAAAATTAGCTACTTGTGCCAGGAGCACACATATTCTAAACTCCCTACTGGGATTGTCTCTAAAACAAGTTGTTGAGGAGCCAACTCGTAAAGAGGCCATACTAGATTTAGTGTTAACAAATGGAGATTTGGTATCAGATATTACTGTAGGTGAAAGTTTAGGATCCAGTGATCATCAGTCAGTGTGGTTTAATATAAGAACAGTGACTGAGTCACACCACACAAAAACAAAAGTTTTAGACTTTAGAAAAACAGACTTTTCTAAAATTAGAATATGGGTAGAGGATTCATTATCAGACTGGAGCAATTTAAATGGAGTCCAAGAAAAATGGGATTATTTAATAGTTGCACTATTGAAGGCAACAGAAAATTGCATTAGGCTTGTCAGTAAAAGCAAAAAATTCAAGAAACCACTGTGGTACTCCGCAGATGTGGCCAAAATAGTTAAAAACAAAAAGTTAGCATTTAGGAATTATAAAAAAAACCAGAGTGAGGGAGACAAAATGATCTATAAGATTAGGCAGAAAGAGGCTAAACAAGTTATAAGAGCTTCCAAATCACACACAGAAGAGAAAATAGCACAGTCAGTAAAAAAGGGGGATAAAACATTTTTTAGATACATAAATGAGAAAAGAAAAGTAAAACAAGG